GGGCGAAGGGGACGCTTGGCAGCCCATCGATCGCCCCCGTGTCCCCCCCAGCTCCCGCAGAGCCTTTAATTTAATCAGCGTGCGAAAATCAATTAGCCGCCTTTAAGGAGGCAATTATTGCTGGGCGCTGAGCGGGGGGGGGCAGAGCGTTTTGGGGTGGGGGTGCTGCCAGCCCCGTGTCCGCCCCCAGGCTGTCACCGTCGTGTCACCGGCTCCTTCCCTGGTGCTTTTCTCCATCGTTGGTGTGTGTGTGCGTGCGTGTCCCCCTTCGTTATCTTTCTTTTTTAACGAGCGCCTAAAAATACGCCTCGCCGAGGTCACGGGCTGCGTGAGTCACCCGCCGGCGCGGTGCTGCGGTGGCCCGGGTGGGCAGGGGGCTCTGTGTGGGGACGGGGCAGCCGTGGCGGGGCCGTGGAGGGGACACGGGCGCGTCCTGGTTGCATCAGGGCACTCGTCTCACCTGGAGGGGCAGGGGACATCCTGGGCCTGGCCCAGCGCCGCGTCCTCGTGGGGCGGCCACAGCCCCGGGTCTCCTCATTGCCACAGGCCATCGTGTCCCCATGGCATGGCCACCACCCCAGGCACCTCACCACCACGGGCCACCACATGTCCATGGCACAGCCACCACCGCAGGCCACCTCACTACCACGGGCCACCACATGTCCATGGCACGGCCACCACATCCCCATTGCAGGTCACCTCGCTACCACACATCACTGTGTCCCCATGTCATAGCCACCACCCTGGGCCACCTCACCACCCTGGGCCACCAGGTCCCCATCCCAGGCTACCTCACCACCACAGGCCACCATGTCCCCATGGCATGGCCACCACATCCCCAGGCCACTGTGTCCCCATGGCATGGCCACCGCGTCCCCAGGCCACGTCCCTACAGCCTGGTTGCAGAGCCGGGATGGCCTCAACACCACCCTGGGGCGGCAGCACCCTACGGATGGGGGCAACAGCCCGGGTGACCCTGCTGGAGACCCCGGGGTGCTCCCTGTCCCTGTCCCTGTCCCCAACCCCTGTCTGGGGAGGGGGAGCCACGCAGCCCCCGAGCCGCCTCCATCCACCCGGGGACGAGCAACTGAGCGGCAGCGCGCGAAGGGCCACGTTTGGGAGCGCAGGAGGGGAAAAGGGACAAAGCCGGGAGGCGACAGCAGCGGCAGCGGTGGCTGCGGTGGCTGCGGTGGCAGCGGTGGC